TGTGTGTGTGTGTGTGTGTGTCTCTCTGCCCCTCTCTCCCCCTTCCTCGATCCCTTGCTTACATCTTTCCTTCACCCACTTTCCACTATTCCAACTCCCTTCAATGGTGCACAGCCACTCTCTACTTTAAACAGAAATGATTGAATATACATGTACGTTACAGATTTATGACAACCTCACAAAACAACATGTCAACAAAAGTTGACATCTCATAGCTGTGTACCTCATTAACTTTTTGTTTTGTTAATGATAATTTAATGATGATGATGATGATGATAATGAAAATAACAATGAATATAATAATGACAACAATAATAATAACACTTTTAAAAATCACAAAAAAGCAATTTAAAAAAAAGAAGAAGAAGAAGATAAAACTATTTTTATCATTAGTAGACCCATTATTACTACCATTAGATCTATTTTTATCAGTATACTAATTGGATGCTTATTACTATCGTCATTATTTTAGACGTTATCATCGTTTTGGAATGGTACTAATACTATTAATACACTCCACACTCAATACTTGAAGCCCTTTTTTATATCATATTTTTCCTTTACCAAAGATGTGCCTGATACGCAGGAGTGTTTATGTCTTTTATCTTGACAATGGCTAATGGTCATAGAAATAAAACCATTTTTGAAAATTCTGAAGTCAAAGTTTATTCAGTCTGCTTTCGGCTTGCTAAGTCTTGTTATGGCCAATCTGGCGTCTAGCGCTAACAATGAAATCTATCTATCTATCTATCTATCTATCTATCTATCTATCTATCTATCTATCTATCTATCTATCTATCTATCTATCTATCTATTGATCGATAGATCCATCTTTCTGTCTGTCTGTCTTTCAGTCTCTGTCTGTCTATCTGTCTCTCTGTCTCTCTGTTTATGCAGATTTAGTCTGTCTAATAAGTGTATATCCCTCTATGTGTTGATCTTCTGCCCAGTAAACATTATAGTGTTATAACTATATTATCTCTGTCTGTCTGTCTGTCTGTCTTTCTGTCTCTGTCTGTCTATCTGTCTGTCTGTTTAAGCAGGTTTAGTCTGTCCAATAAGTGTATATCCCTCTATGCGTTGATCTTCTGCCCAGTAAACGTTATAATGTTATAACTATATTATTATAGTTTCCCCCTCATACCACTGAGTATCAGAAGGTCGTGTCCCATATTGGGACATGAAAGTTTCATGAGTCTCAATTGCACTGAACTAATCCGATAAATGGGATTTCACCCGTTTATTGGTGGTCTGTAAAACAAATACATTGTTTGTCAGATAGACTTTCTATGGTTTATGTTTGGTGTTTCTGGCGTCTGACGCACAGTTATCCTCTCTGTATTGTTTAACTGATTAGCGCTGTATATGTATATGCCTAATGTATTATACCGCATGTCATAAGATAGTGACTATTACTATCCTGCACGTATATGTCATTAGTATGTTTCTTTCTTTCTTTTTGAATATCTTAAGTTATGCCTGTGTATGATTTGGTCCAGGGTTCTTGGTTGCTTCTATTAGTGTAAGGCCGTGAAAATAGAGAACATTTTACGTTATACAAGAAAATCTAGTGCGACCAAGCAAACGCCAGAACTATTGATAGCCTATACATAAAATGTCTTGTGCTCTCTTTTTGTCTTTGCAAGACACCGAGGAATGTTTCAAGGGCTTCACATGAGTTAACTCGAGAATGTATTAATTGTGGCGCCGGTGGTTTAGCGGTTAGGCTGTCGAGCTCGATACTGGAAGGTCATGGGTTCGAGCCCCGCCAGGGGCCGACGTTGTGTCCTTAGAAAAAGCTCTTTCCACGAACTGTCCTCTTTTCGCCACGGTGGAAATCGGTACCCTGTAGTACACGGCTAAAGATCGTGACAGTTTATTTAGTATGAGTGCTTAATTGGTTGCATGCTCTGTATGCATCCTGGGAAGCCGAGAACGTTTCAGCGTGTTCTGATGGTAGTCTGCTGGGGTAATAATAGCTGTGGAGAACGTGGAGCATGCTATAAAGTGAAGGAGAATACTGTGGATCATGGGTATTCACTATAAAAATGCAACTGCTATCATTAACGTGCCACACCCCCCCCCCCCGCGCCCCACCCCTGCACACACACACGCTCGCGCGTGTGCTTAAGGGGGTTCCTATCCGAAAAGATAGACTGTCTTTGTTTTTACGGTCCAGAAGCACTAAGCACAGAGCGGAAAAATGAAGTGCCAAGTTTCTTCCTAATAAGTATTTCAAGTGCTTTATATTGCAAAAAGCAATGCCCTACGAGTAGCTTCATTTTGGAGTGGTCTTGATGCTACAATTTTATTATAATTTATCAGGTATTTTTTTTCTTCAAATCATATGCCAATTTTATCACCCGCGCCCAACAACAACAAAAAATTAAATAAGAAAATCCTATACAAACATTTAATCGCCAAAAAAAACAAAAGACACAGCACAAACTATACTAGTCACTAGCCTACGTTGTTTTTTTTCAATTAATAATGTTCGATCACAAATGGTTAAAACGTTTACAGAACAATGAATTATGCAACGAAATGTACCTTAAACACTGAAAACACAGTTTACCGACGGTACGTGGAGCATGCTATAAAGTGAAATAGAATGCTGTGGATCAGTAACCGGCCTCTGTTATAGGCCTATCGCCGATCAATCCCCCCCCCCCTTTTTCCCCCCTTTCTAATGTAATGACCACACTTTCTACATCATTCATATCGTTTTTGTTCAGGCGCCATCTTTTCAAGCATCGCTGTCGTAGAAGTTCTGTGCCTGGTTGTCTCGAACACGTCCCTGCTCAAGGTCTACTCAGCGACCGTAGCGACCATGCCAGGGGCTGTCTACTTGTTGTTGGCAGCCTACAGTGCAGCGGCAGCCCTTCTTTTAATGTGAGCATCGCAGTAGCTTTTTCCCACCGTATAGAAACTCACGACATCCCAGCTTTCTTGTCGTATCTCCATTTTTTAACGGTGAAAATGTGACTTCTTCTTCAGCTCGCTCACGCTTTGTTATGAACTGTTTCCACTGTTATTAAAAGTGGAGACACGACAATAAAGCACTGAGGTCGCTAACTGAATAAAGGAATCTTCCCTATTCCTATATCATATCTCTCTAACCATCGATTCATCTACCCGTGATATAATAATATATGCTTACGATCTATCTGTACTAGGGCTATATCTGATGTACTCTGTTTTTTATCATCATTTCTCTTTTCTGTATTTACGTCTACCGCTTTCTCTAATTTTCTGCCTATCAATCATCATCAAGTGCCAGATATCGGCGATCATGCTTCTCCTTTCATTTCTTTGCTCGGACGCTCTTAAATAAGCTACGTAGGTTGCTCTGAGCCTACCCCTGCCTCGTTTTCTTTCAGTTTTTGCCAGAGAGAGCTAGATGCTCAAGACCTTTTTGTCTATTCAGGTGTCCCAAAAACTGCATTTGTCGTTTCCTTATTGTTTTTAACAGTGAGCGTCCCACGTGAGCTTCATCAAGTACTACCTCATTTCATTTCTCTTCCTTCCACGCTTGTCAATATATTTTGTAAAAATATGTCGACTGAACCATAAAGAATTCCAACACTTTGGTATTTCTAATTCTTTGCTGGTTTCACTATAAAAGAAGAAAAATCACTTAAGCTTACCGTCAAGTTTTTGCTCACATAAATAGATTATAGCCATTTTCCTCATTATTCCTAATTGACTAATTGCAATGTGTATGACGTTCGCTTCAAGTGACGTAAAGAAAGACAAAACAACAACAACAAATTTTGGTGATTTTTTCTCTCCCCAGCGTCTTCCTCTGTGTGCGAGTGGAGCCGGGAGAAGGCACAACATACGAGACTCTGGTGGAAGCGGACCAGAAACCTCAAAAAACAATTAAGTCATAGATAGTTGTAGAAAGTGTTTTTAGTTTCAGTAAGAGCTGCCCGGCACTTTCAACGTGATAACATTTTATAAGTGCCGGAGATTGGAAGTGTAACTAGAGTGTAACATACAAACAAAAGAAGGAGCAGAAATATTACGATAGAAGGTTGATAGGAAGAAAGAGCAAACTATACCAGAGTGCCCGCCAGCCACCAACGTTCTAGATAAGTGGACGTACAAAAGAATAATAGGACTGTAAACTGTGCATGTTGGGAACAATATTTGAGATGCCTTGTTGTTCATGTACAATAAACGCAAAATTGAATGCGCACATGTTATGCAAGTAAATAGGTGTTTTTTAAAAAACGAAAAAAAAAGTTTTACTCTCTCACAGACACAATTTAGGTTGTTTTGGAGACGGACTGCTTCGGCCATGTCTGTCATGACATATACCCGGGTCTAGAAGGTTACATTATCCGAGTAGAAATACAAAGAAACCATATTCTACTGTCTTCCCTACACAAGAATCGAACTCACTTCTTTTGAGTCTAACCGCGGAAAGTCTATAAGCCTTACACAATTAATTAAGGTCAATATGATGATGTACATAATAATATGTTTCTCCTTCAATGGCCTCCCTTGTAGTACTGTAAGTATTAACATATTACAAATATTTCTCCTTATACTAAATACTTAATGTGTTGTTGAGTGGTTCAAACGACACAAATTAATAACCATTACAGCTGTAAATATTTCCCCCAAGGATTGACCATTTTAAAATTAATAATAAAACTCTTATAGAAGCAACACGACACAATTTTGTATAAAACATCATGATAGCACCCTATAATCATGCCCTCATTCCTTCAAACCTGTGACAGTACCCTAGAGGCTGTAATCGACTTAGGGTTCAGATACTGCGTAAAACGTGCAGGCCCTCAGCCTGCTGCTACCGTACCAAAGCTCAAAGCTTCAGGGTTGGCCGCAAAGGAAATGAAATGGCTGCGAACTTCTTCATTACTTACTTTATGTTTTCATGTTTGTGTTTTATTAAATTTTGTATAAGCAAACTTTATCTATAATATAATAATAGTATTTTCTTGATGAAGTTAGAAGATACTACTGTTAGTTGGTTAGTTTGTTTGGTCTTTTGGTTTTGCTTCCTTGTTTGTTTGTTTGTTTGTTTGCTTGTTTGTTGTTGTTTTTTTTTGGGTGTGTTTTTTCTGGGGCTTCTTGGGATTCGTGCGTGAAATCATGAAAAAAGTACAACCGTAGAAAGTTTATTCGAACAGTGTGGTTCCTATATATAAGTAATGTGAGCGCCTCTGTGAGTAAGAAAATAAAATAATCTGTATGTTTGTTATTTCTGTTTTGTATAGGAAGACGTAATTGGTGATATTCTACTCACAAAACCTAACCTAAGCTACCTGTTTATTATGTATGATTTTCTTCAACTAATTTGAATAAACTGATGTTCCAATTAAAACTGTAATGTTGTCTTTTATTGTTAAACGGTTGTGCTTTTATGATTACGGAATACCCATATGCCTATAGTTCAAGCATCCCCCCGCCCCTTTCATTTCGCCAAAAAAAACAAAACAACCCACCACCACCACCAAAAAAAAAATAAATAAATCCCACAAGGTTACCCCCCCAAAAATTGAAAAAAAAAACCTCTTTCCCTTTCCCACGTCTCAACCAAAGACTGTAATACACTGGCACGGAATGAACATAATTTAATTTCCGATTGAAAATGTATGAGTAAAGCATGATTTTTTAATTGCCCCATAGAAGGCAATACGCATGTTGAATTAATAAGTCATCGTTCAAGTTCACGACTTAAGTAAAGTCACTTTTGTCACTTTAGCAGCAACAGGGGTGGAACAAATTATTGTAACTATATACACCCAAACAATTGCTGTATAAATCCTTAATACTCCCTGTCACTCTAAATGTATTCCGTGGTCATACAGTTCAGGAGCGTGTCATCATTCGACAGTACAGACGACTCCTGTTGTGTTGAACAAGTTGGGTTGATCTTCGGTTAAGTTAATCTTTTTCTTGGGTCCCAGCACCTGATCTTCTGTGCAGGTCCCAACTGTTAAGTTGAATTTGGATGAGTTGATCTTTTTTTCACTCCATAATGATATCAATTAATCCGTGGTCGACTGTGTAAGTTACCACACCCGCTAAAGATTTGTTACATCAGTAATGTGTCGCGACACTGGGATATAGAGTTATTAGTTCAATCTTAACGCTTCTTCTTCATTTGTCTTACTTTTGGATGAAAAGGTAACCGAGAATCTTGAATAGAAATTGAGATATTGAAATTTGCCATTGAAGTAAGTGGGGGTCGTCTGGTGAGAAAGTAAAATTGGCGAGCAAAAGACCGCCAAAGGGTGACAGCTAAAGCTTGAGAGTTTTTGGAAATTGCAAGTTTACAACTTGTAAACACGTTTCAGCAAAAGCATATTTATTTTTAATTGAACATATAAAACGTGAAGAGAAAAACCCCCCAAAACCAGTCAAAATTGCTCGACGGACTGAAAAAGGTCTGTTCGATTTCATCCTTTTGACGACTGCCTGATTTCACCTCTGTGCCACACATTTGTCTACTAATTGAAATGCCCGCAACGAACTCAGACAACGCTGTACTCTCGCACTGCAAATATCATGTTCATTTATGATTATATATCCGATTGAATATATTATATGATTTTTCAAAAGCTTTGTTTGATGCATGGTGCTTTTATTTCTGAACTTTTTTTTATTTAGAAAAAAAATACCGCTGATGCTTATACATTTAATTTTACTTTGTTTCCATTAGCTTACAGATCTTAATTTGCTCAGTGCATAATATGTTATACCGACATTGTTTCCCCCCGTGCCAACCATTCCGGCTTGCTCTTACTAATATAATATAAGGAAAAAGGAAACACTACCAAATAGTATATTATACTATTTGGTAGTGTTTCCTTTTTCAATACTGCAAACTGCCATATCAGCCTATGTGCTGAAATCAATTAATTGGAACAACTAATTTTACTAATTTTCAGTTTTTTTAGCCTCCCCCCCCTCCACCCTCCCCAGGTCGCTCCTTATTCCACAACCCCCGTTTATTATTTTCCAGCTTGCCAAGACTGACAATCAAGTGAAACATTATAATATCGAATCTACACATCTGAATGAAACTTCTTTTTTTTTGGGTAAAAATTTCAAATTACCCTCAGTATTAGTACCGGTACCGGGTTGGCTACCTCAGTTTTTTGTGCAGTTTAAAAACTTTTTGTACATTGGTTTATATTTTTTAATGAAACTGGTTTGTTCCTAAATGGGAAAAGTTATCATAGTAACTTGGTATTATCACTATATTTTCATGATCACTTGTTCTTTTAGTCACTGAAGGAGAAATAAGACAGATTGTTCTAACAAGTACAGGGGTATGTGGTTGAATGTGCCACCTCCCCCCTTTTTTAACCCATCCCCCCTCCTCCCATTAATTAATTTTGGACTAATTGTCTAACCCCCCTCCCCCCGGCTTTTTCCTATCCT